CGTAAGACTTTGGCTTTCTAACTGAAAACTTTTTTCCTGCTTAACTGGGTTTTCTGTTTTCCAGATCATTACACATCAGATGATGAAAAGTATGATCACAACAGTTTATACGATTCAGTCCTTTTGTGCCACAGGTTGAAAACTCATGGGATATTGTGATCAGAGCAAAACATTTGTATGCTATGACCAAATTTTTAGAAGTTAAAACAGCAAGAGCTGCCCAACCAGGAAAATATTTGTGGTACAGGTGTTGCAAATTTAGACTTGCTTTACTGTAAAAATACTGATTTCTGTCAACATCATTGGGGATTATCATTATTATTTACAATCTATTAATACATTCATTAATTTACATACACTTCCCAGAGATTCCTAAAAGTGATGAGAATTTGCTCATATGTTTGTGTCATTGCCAGCAAACCCTGGGGAAAATGGCACAGTGTTGACCAGAGGATTGACAAATATCATTCTGTAACTTTCAAAAACAAAGAAATGTTATTGTATAGAGAACAGCATATAAGTCTGGTCAGCATGTGTGTTCTGGGTGTAATCAGACCACATGCCAGAGCTCTTCAAGCATAAGAACACAAATCCCTACCATGATATTTCAGCATCCTTTCCCCATACCCCTATTACCTTGAGAAGACCTGGGGAAATGAGCAAGATACGGAATAGTTGTTCCTTTGACACACAAGAAAATCTGTCTTCTCTTGACACACTTTTCAGCTAAATCTGAGCCATATTTTCACAATGAGTGTGAGCCATCCGAAGTTAAAGAGAAGTTCCATGCGGCCTTCTGAAAGCTCTTCATGGAGACCTCTTGCAGACACACTGCTGTATGGATATGCTCTGTTGCTGTTCCAGTATTTCACAGTAAACATGGGGAGAAAAAACTTACACGATGTTGAAAAAGCTGTGGAGTGTGTTGGTGAGAGAGGCACGGAACAGCAGGCCGCGTGAGGCCAAGCACTCAGCTCGAAGAATCTTTCCCAGATCTTTTGTTGCATAGAATAATTAATTACTATCATTGCTTCGCTACGTTGTGCATCTCATCTTTTAATTGGTGGTAAGGAAGGTTCTGTGGTGACTGTGAATGCCATCATGACCATCTATCAGTCAGCCGTACGCTCAGCTACACAGAGTGCAACCTCTACCCAGTGTCCTTAAAAACTAAAAAAGAAATCCCCAACTTATTACACATAACTCATCTTGATACCTGACAAACTATAGATTGATGCAGGATCTACATTAATCAAATAACAATACGCTGTTTACTAAGGCTGATTCTACAGGGTGGATTTGTGTTTGACCCTTTTCCCATTCTTTGGCTAATGATCCACAAATTAAGATAATCGTTTCATAGATTAGTGGAAATTCAGGACTGGTCTAGAACATTAAGATCTTAATCTGTTATATTACTCTTTTGGATTAGGCTACTGTTACTACTGTTATTACTGAACATATTTATGGTGTCTTTTAAACCACTTTTTGGATGAACCGCTAAGACTAAGTGTTGTAGTATGTTGCAAACTGATTGTGACCTGAGCTTTTTGGCAAAATATATAATCCTTGTGAAGTCTCCACATACTTTCAGCCACTGACAAAATAAACTGTCAATTCGTTTACAAAATATCTATTTAAATATGACAGCATCAAAGGGAGATGTTTCTGATATGACTAAATGGAAACCTGTATGGCAGTGTTTCCCAGTCCGTTCCTCAGGGACCCACAGACACTCCACATTTTTGCTCCCTCCCAGCTCCCTGCCAGACGGTCCACATTTTTGTAAAAGCGTGGCCTGTCTGCGGGTCCCCAAGGACGGGGTTGGGAAACACTGCTCTATGGGAATAAAAGCTTATTTCTGCATAATAGTAGTTACTCAGTTTCACACAGAAATAGCTGGTTTGTATATATTTCTGACAGCTCTGCCTGTAATTCACATTGCAACACACCAACTTTCTGTTTTTGATAATTAAAGAACAATACTTTACACTCATGCAAATCCCTCAAAATGTTCCTGCTTCTTCTAGCAGATAAGGTTGTCATTGCAAATTGCTAATGATTAATATTGAATTGCAATATTATAAAAAAAGAGCTAAAAACCAAACAGCGTGAATTCAAATATATACACGATTCAACATGAATTACATAAAGTAATTACATTACTTTTCTAAGATAGCTAAGATACACAATCAATGCCAAAATAATGGATGTATTCAGTATCTTTGAAAGTACAGTGATATATTACATTATCAGATACCAAGTAGGCATAAAAATATTAAACAAAAAAAAATAGTTAAATATGCGTCATCTTCCCAATTCTACTTGAGTTAAGTAACCAACTAGTATTTCTCGAAAAATCTTTCTAAAAGTTAAAAATGAACGCTAAATTATTACTAATTATTTTCCTATTTGAACTCCGGTAACGCTAATTGGACCGAGACTTACAAGACGGTGTTTTATCTTTAAAAGTTTCCTTTCGTTTGCTGCGCACCCTGCCTTCTTACCGTAATACTTATAACAATGGAGCCAATAAAAACTCACATGGTCCAATTTTCATTGTCTCCAGAGAATGTCTGTATTACAAGATCGTTGGAATAATACTAATTTATCCCTTTCCATTTTCAGTGACATAATACTTTTTTTTATCTTGTGTTCCTTATTTGCAAGCAGACCTTATTCAGTACACAGTGTCGTCTTATACCTCCAATACTCTAAAGGGTACAGCTTCACTGTTTTATGAAGTTTCCTGTTTTAAAAACATATAGACAACTTCTCTTAGGATGTAATGTGGCCTTGTATAAATTAACACAATGTTACACGGTTTCCATGAGACATTAATTGTTCAATTATAAGGCTACATCAAAAATCGCCTTAAAATAGGCATCCTGGTTCTGTGCATTGTTCTTATTGATTTTTAACTATATATATATATATATATATATATATATATATATATATATATATCACACACTGAGAATGCAGGAATAAAACTCTGTATAATATCTTCTCGTATATATTTCATATTTTAAGGTCATATACGAACAAAAGTTCTATATAAAATAAAGTATTGAGACAATACATGAATAAAAAGTTATAATACGATTGGATCATTTTATTTCCTAATGACCAAACATCGTTTTATCCGTGGTATCATTCACAATTTAACTTACAGAGGTGTAAAACATCCAGTTTATTTGAGAACATTGGGATTTTATATGCTTTTTTATTATGTATTTTACGGTACATAAAGTTTTTCAACATGGTGACGATAGGAATGTGTGGAATGTACAGGACGCTTAATTTATACTCAGTCGCCAGTAGCTTTTTAAAGTGACAGCAAGCCGTGGTTAAGTAGATCCGCCTTACTTCTTTGTATTTAATAGCAGTAAATAGCATTGCAAACAATGATTTGCAAAACTTGTCGTTTGCAGAATTTAGATTTGAAAAAAAAAAACCGCTTCAGGTACCGTAATAATATCCTAAAACTATATCTATATTTGGTTCTGGACATTTTAGTTTCATTTTACAGTCTTTGTGGTTACCGCTCGCTGGACGGTCATGAAAATGACAAATGCTGTGTAAGGCATACAAATAAACTCAAGTACTCGAAGGCAGTTGTGTATGAATGAAATGAACTGGAATATTAATAATAAGCATTTTTATCAGATAAACAGCAATGTCTATACAATTTTGAATAAACGTTGTTATACGCTTCTGAAATGTGTTATATTCAGAGTGCTTATAATGCTTTTTATAACTGAATTGATGTCAGTTTCACAAACATATAACTCAAAATGTTAGGTGAGTATGTAAAAAGCAAAACTTAAGCTACAGGACCTTAGAAGGTAACGATACATTTTATTAAACATCGACAAAAGCTGTTTGGTCTTAAAACTCATAATTGACCTCACAAATAAGACAACTCTGAAAATAATGCACAATCATACTGATCATGTCACTGTTTTTATTACATATTTGTACTTTAGATGTGGCACGTGGTATGCTTGGCTAGTATCTTCCGGGTGCAAGACATTATTTTCAAGTAGTATATACTCTAAATACACTAAAGTCTGAACTAACGAATGCTACAGACTTTACAGAACACAACGAAACTATGCTTAAGGTAGTTTTTCCCGATGCAAATTTATCTACTGTGAACAGAGTCACCTTAGATGAACGGCATTCGACAGTCGGCTAGTTCCTGCTTAAGTTCTGCCTGGTAACAGAAGTTCCCCCCATTGGTTTACCTTAATTTCTGTTGCCTCCCATCGAGGGGGTGGGTTGGTTCTTCCTCAGAAACTTCTGCCAACTTTTGTTGAAGTTACTTTGTCCTATATTGCCACACGCAGAGGGATGGGAGTTCTGCACTTCGTTCGTGGAGAACTATTCTTCCCTGATTTAAAGAAGTGCTTCAGCTTATTTATTTATTTATTTATTTATTTTTTCATTTCCCATGTTTAATGGATAATATCGTATCTAGACACAACATGTATGGACACCTATATACATATGCACAAAATATACTAAGAAAATGTCAACGCGTCTATAGGATCTATTCATAAATCAAAATAATTTGCAGCATGTGAAGTGGTCAAAAAACTAAATCAATAAATATATATTTTTTGCCGTTAACTTGTGCAAAGCTCAAACATTAGTCGGGTGAAATACATGTGCACTTTAAAATGAGCAATTTTTTTTTGTACAGTATGGTCATATAAATACGGAGATATATTAAGGTACAGGCACACGCGCGTACATTTTCGATTAATAATATGAAGCCGTAAATGTATGTGTCTCTGGGGAACTGGGGGACAATTTTGTCAGCATGGGCATTCTCCCAACCACCCCCACCTCCCGTTCGCCCGACGTACACCCAAACCCATTACCGATACACATACATTACTACTTCCAGCTAAATACACCCCTTCTCCCTCCCCTCTACCCCCTCCCGACTCTATCGAGTGCGACCGCAAGCTGGAAAAAAGGACCTCCCATTTAAGCGATGTTCTGGCGGCATTGGGCCGGACCGCGAACTTGCTGCTCTTAAGACTACCCTCCTCACTCTGGCCTCTCTCTCACTCTCTCGCTCATGCTCACACAGGCTTTGATCTCCCCTTAACAACATTAACGTCACTGCATAGAGAGCTAAAGGGAGTTCTGTTGGGGAGAGCGACGTTTGGCAGCCTCCAGAGGGCTTACTCAGCGGTAGCAGCGAGCAGCATCCGCGGAACGTCTGGTAGCGAAGCGCTTCTCCGTATCCACCGAAAACCGAAAACCCCGGCAATTCTACAGACATGGAACACCAGCTGCTGTGTTGCGAGGTGGAGAGCATCAGAAGAGCCTACCAAGATGCCAACTTGCTCAATGACAGAGTTCTACAGACAATGCTAAAAGCCGAGGACAATTACCTTCCCTCTGCAAATTACTTTAAATGCGTTCAGAAAGATATCGTGCCTTACATGAGGAGAATTGTTGCCACGTGGATGCTGGAGGTTTGTAATTTCAAATTAAATTCGGAAATGTAGTTGCAAAAGTATTACCAGGTTACGTACTTGGACACTTGTTGATATGCCCTTTGGACCCATTTTAATGTTTATAAAAGGATACATTTCATGTGACATGAACATACTTTAAAACACTTACACACATGGTCTTTTAACTTTTTATGTAATCATAGTTATTGCTTATTTGGACTTTTCCGTCTTATTGTACTATTACGAGAATAATCAATAATAATCAAATAATGTCGATAATGAGTTGCGTGTTTAAACTTATGTTTACCTTTGCAAAGTTTAATGTAAATTAAGCTTTCGAATGTTTTCTAAGTCTGCAGTTTCAAGAAAACAATTTTATTTTAATTTATTTTAAATTAATATCGATGTACACGTATGCAGTGCAACTCGTGCCAGTAATATGCGCCATCTTTGTTCTCTTCCGAAAAGTCTTAATAAACTGAAATTCAATAATAATTATAAAATTGACATAAATTGTATACAATCTACAAAACCGATCTGGATGTATGATTCCTATAGTTTGTTAAAGATGATTGGAATAAAACGTTTAATTTATACGTATTTTTTTTTTGTTTCAACTCGGCTGTCGAACTTCCAGTGTTAGCTTCCGAATAACGCTCTAAAAATAGGTTCATTATTACCTTTTCACTCTCTACGATTGTGATGAAACTGAAATATTATGAAACAAAACATATTTTTCAAGATTTACATTAGTTTTTTGTGCATAGTTTGTGTGCATATATATTTTTAAATATTTTTTGAAGTTGCGTGTCATCACGAGTTAAAATGTCGCATGCTCTTCATGAAAACGCGGAGTCTTACAATTTTAGTTCTTTTCTCCTATAAAAGGCATTGGAAATTGGAAACTTTTGCTTCTAACCAATAAAGTATGTGGCAAAGAACATTTTCATGTCAATTTAAAGCGCTCTAACAATTTTGAAATATTTTTAAATATTTTTTGAAAAGATGACGAACTACAAAATTGTTTCGGACGTAGCAGTGGACGCCACCTCCGTGCAATGGAATAAAATGGCTGAAAATATTAGGAAAAAAACATTGACAAGTTCCTTAATCTATAAGATAGCAAAAGAAGTTTTGCAAAAATAATTCTTTGTAGACCACCCTAAAATTTATTTCGTGCTAATACATATAGTTTGCCACAAAGGTAGGCTGCAATAACAGTATCAGTACTGATTTGAGAATAGAGATGCTAGATAGCTATTTTTGGTCGTTTTTAAAAATAATTTGTGTTGCTTCTTATTGTTTACAAATATCGAATGAAGCCTTTCTTTTGATAAAATGTCTGAATTGTTTTCTTCTTCATATTACAGGTCTGCGAGGAGCAGAAATGCGAAGAGGAGGTTTTCCCCTTGGCTATGAATTATTTGGACAGATTTTTGTCTGTGGAACCCACAAAAAAATCCAGATTACAATTACTGGGAGCTACGTGCATGTTTCTGGCGTCCAAAATGAAGGAGACCATCCCGCTAACTGCAGAGAAATTGTGCATATATACCGACAATTCCATCAGACCCAGCGAGTTACTGGTAAATGCACAATAAAAAATACATATTCGGCTGAGGGATATATTTTGCGGATTCTTACTTGATATAATTAGATTTTTTTAAAGAAAACAAAACTTGCATGAGTTCTGCACTATTGCATGATAGCTAAAAACGCGAAGCGTGAGTCATGCTTTGCTGTACTTTATGGGTAAATTTTCAAAAGCTTTCAACTGTAGATGATTTTTACTATAAAGTTAAATAAGCAAAAGTGTCGCACTTGAATTATTTTGAGACTGGTTTTCTTATGTCATTTAATTGAGTAGGACTACTTTTATATCTTAGATTAGATTAGATTGGACTGCATTGTAATTTATTGACCTACAGTTCCCTCTAGCGGTGGATGCTTGCCACATGGCGGACTGATCTCAACAAGTATCAACACTATAGTTTTTGTTCTCCTCCACAGCAAATGGAACTACTCACACTGAACAAACTGAAATGGGACCTAGCCTCCGTAACACCCCACGATTTCATTGAACATTTCCTGTCCAAACTGCCCATCCACCAAGAGACCAAGCAGATCCTCCGCAAGCACGCCCAGACCTTTGTGGCTCTCTGTGCGACAGGTATGCATAGAAGTCATGCAGGAAACTGTTATGTCTGCTGCCCCCTCCTGTTCATGTTGTATCCACCATAAGGTTTGAGGACAGGGACGCAACACTATATAATTCTCATTGAGATATAGGAGTGGATTACTTTAAAGATAAACAGGTAAGGGGCATGAAATGTATGCTAGATTTCTTTTACCAGTAGAGTGAATTATATAAATTGTACTCAGACATAGCTATAGAAACATTCCAACAACAACATAAGTAAAAATAATAACAACAACCACAACAAAAAAACAATATGAAGTAATAATAATAACAATAATAATAATACTTATGGTGATGGCGCTGCTTTATTTTTAGAATGGTGCTATGTGTGAATTATACAAAATTGTACATTTGTTTATTGCGGAATAAATTTGTTTTGGGATATTTTTCGGTAGATGTTCCATGCTCTCGAACATTTCCATAGATCTGTGGTTGGAAGCTCTGTCAGTGGCTGCCTTCAAATTATGTATAAATAGAACAATAAGAGTAGATTTTTTTATACTTTTGTGCAGCTGGTTTTATGAGGAAGGCATTTAAATTTAGGCAAAAACGGGCCTATCTGTGCCAGTCTCAAATCATTGCATCTCTCCCACAAGATGAAAGGAGCTTAACCCTGCTCTGTTATACAAGGCAAATATTATGTCTGGGTGACTTGTAGACTACAGGGCAAGGGGTCGTGCTGGTTTCGGCCCTTTTGCTCTGCTGGATTGCAGGGAACTCAGTTTTCCTGCCCTATTTCCACCCATTGAAAATCCCTTAAGCTTGGTCAGAGGTCCTATTGAACGGAAGCACGGCTTCTGAGGAGGGATAGGAATTCAGCTGGAGGTGATATTAAGGCAGAATTCCTCCCCTGAATGACCCCTGCACCACCCCCTACCTTTATTCACAGAAGTGGATTTGCACGAAGGAAGCCCTTTTGTCCCTTGGTAGGTCAGGGGGAAAACTTGGCTTGTGGTGCTGTTTGAAGTTAGCGCTTAATTGAGTGGAGTGAATGTGCTTTGACATGGCCCCCGTACTCCCGTCGTTGGTGGTTCAGCCTGAGCGAATCCCTCAGCCTGGAGAAAGGTGATTGGGGAGAAGCAGGTTAGGAGCGTTACGTTAAAAAAAGCCTGAACCATAGCAGAAAGCAAGCCAGAGAAAAGAGGAATGGATTTTATTCTTGTTTTCATATTGGTGCAAAGATACAAGTGAAAATAATAGAGAGGAAAACAAAAACAATAAAACGAGTTGAAGTTCTTCTACTTGACATCACTGGAAATGGTCTAGCGGAGGTATTCAACCAGTTGCAACCTGTTAGAGCTTCACTCTATGGAACATTGTATGAGGAATTTTGATTTGTCTTGTTGAAATATTGCCATTGCTCTTTCCGTTTCGGTTTTAAAGGGACTGGGGATGACTCCTTTTCCCCTATTATAGGGCTTCCTGCTTTGTTTTTCTTCAGGGTGGCTGCCGTTCTGGCTCCTCTCCAAGCTCTGTGCTGCTTTATTTAGGACAGGTTAGCAAGGATATGGGTCTAAGTGAATGGGGGGGGCGTTCCTGCCTTTGTGCCCGTGTCAGGTTCAATTCATCTTGCCGCACTCTCCATTTGTTTCTGGGATCTCAATGGCATGAGGGTAACGCAATGGGATCTGACATGATGCCACGCTCTCTTACGCGGGGCGAGCGGGGGGGGCGAGCGGGGGGGGCGAGCGGGGGTGTCCTATTACACAACCTGCAGGGCCCCTTAATTAATAGGCTGAAATTAATGGCCGACGCAGTAAATAAATCGAGGATGCCTTCGACAATGGCTTCTGCCAGGGCGTTCGTCCGGGGAGCCTCTGGCCTGCGAGCCACCGGAGTGGAAGGGCCCCGTGTCCGTATCTATCGTCCTCATTTACACTTGAGAAGGGAAGCTGGGTGCGCTGCTGCTTTTACGGGAGGCTCAGCGAAAGCGATCTGAATGGTGATTTAGTGCCGGATGAGGGTGAGAGCATGGATGCTTCAGAAAGGGAAGGAGCATTGTTTTTGGCTGGGGTAGGGGTGCGGGGGGGGGGGGGGTCTGATCCCTATGGGTGTATGGTCACCAAGTAGTTAAGTAGTTATTGCCTTCTAGAACGGTGCTTTTTTCTTTCTTTTTCTCCTTTCCACGGCACTTCCGCCACTTGTGTTGTGAGGTTGCGAGGGTGTAGAAATGTGCTGCAGGTGATTCATTAGGGAGGTGCGAATTGGGTGTATGGGTGGCTGAATTGGAGGGGGGGGGACGGGGACGCGGTTCACACCAGGACAAACTGCTTACTCCTCTTGAAATCTGGGCAACCAGCCACAAGTCAGCAGGGCATAATTTTCGAGGATCTCCATGGTTCTCTTTCATGGTCCTCCTCCACGGTATCACTCTCACTTAGCTTTGTTCCAACACATGAGTGACCGGTCCCCAGACTTTACATCCTTACATCCTTCTTCTTGAAAAGTTCAAACCTTGTGAGTAATGATAGGCTGCCGATCTGTTCAACTCTGTTTTTTTTTTTTTTTTGGTCTGAATACTGGCTACCATCTAGTCCATAAGGGAATAATGAGAGGACCTACCTACTTGAGGTCCACTCTGACGCAGTGCTCTGTCTCCGTCTTTCAAGATGTGAAATTCATCGCCAGTCCGCCGTCCATGGTGGCTGCGGGAAGCGTGGCGGCGGCGGTCCAGGGGCTGCACCTCAAGAGCACGGACAGCATTCTGTCATCGCAGAACCTCACCGACTTCCTGTCGCAGGTCATCAAGAGCGACCCGGTAGGTCTCACTGTGACGTGCACGCGTGCGACCCGGGTGACAAGAAGCACACCTACATGATTGCTGGCGGCTTGGCAACCCAGCACAGTCAACTGGGCGGTGGAATGGGGGGGGGTGTGTTCAGTGACACCGAGGGCAGGAAAAGGGAAAGATACGAAGCCAAATAAAAAAACAATGCTTATTTTAATGCTTATGTTTTGTGTCTTTTGAACTTAAAACAATAGGCCTTTTTTTTTTTGAAAGATTAGGAAATAGTATTCAATAATAACTTTTTTAGATCTTATTTTCTCACCGCGGAGTCTCTAGTTTCCTGTTGTCTCTTTGATCCCAGGTAATTAGAGCCCAAATGATTAGAATTAGGGCCCTGAGGCTGATCCTCCCCCCCCCACCTGAATGGGTCTGTCCTTCGTATTCTGCACTGAGTGAATTGCTTTACCTCCCATTGTTTTGGAGCCAGGAATTCACCGGACCAGATTATGTTTCGAGCCTTTCATGGTTCATTGTCTTCCTCCTAATCCTCCAGCCCTCCCACTCCGTGGCACAGTAGCTAAATGCACCATCATTGTTCCTAGTGTGGGCTGGTTATAGTCGCTAGAATCAGAATCACTCATCTGAATATCAGCGTACTTGCATATCATAACAGGGGTGTATTGTGGTTGGGTGTCATTACAGGAGTATGTTGTAGATGGAGGGATGGGGCAAATATTTAAAGCACTGGGTGCTACTCGCTATCAAAACATTGAGAAAACGCAGTGAGAAAACGCAGTGTGAATGTGACACATAAACAGACCTGATGTAGATGAGGACTGAACAGTGATTCGGATCAGTTCATTTCAGGAGTTTTTTTGTAATTTTCGCAATAAACAGTCACACTATACAACGAAAATCTTACTCTGCATATCCCTGAACACAAAACACATATACAAATTAAGGTGGTAAAAGCAGTAAAAAAAACAAGACAAATACGTGTTCGATTATGGCAATGAATATGCAAACATATAATGTTATGTAAACATATATCATTAATATAGAGAGTTTTGCAGAGGAGTGGATAAGGCAGATAATTTGAACGTATTACTGTTCTCCTCATTGTTGGCCAGTAATTTCAGTGTATTTCAGCCGTAGGGGGGTCTGCAGGTCGTGTAGACAGACATGGCATGATATTTTGAGTTTCACAGTTTCAGTAGATTTTGCTGCAACTACTGTAGAAGGATCCACAAAAGAGCAGAAGCTGCAACTGCACGTTGGATATTTAATTCTCTGTCACTCGTCTCAGGGATTGTTAGTCCTGTTAGGGGCTCCTTTCTCATGCCAGACCCATTCAGTGCCACTCATGCAAACGCTAACGCCTCAGAGACGTTTCTCATGGGCCGGTGGCTGCTGGGATGGAGGTCAGACAGATGTTGCCAGCAGAAAGGGACACAGCCGTGCCTTGGCGTGGGGCGCCCCGTGACATTAATCCTATGGCTGTGACGGTGTGCGTTCCGCGGCGCGTGTCATGGCCTTCCTGCCAGCGTGCCTGGCCGCACGTGGTGTGGGCCAAGAGGCCACACTTCTAGAATGTTCCCATTGGAAAGATGGAGCAGGAAATCTACACTGCACCAGTGGTTAATTTGCATCTTCAGTATCGATGATACCATAGCCTCACCCAATCTTATGTCTGTGACTCGGGTACGACAGAGTAGCACCTAAAATATATTTTGTTATTGTGTAGTTTCCTTTTGTAGGGAATCATTCGCAGTGAAATATGTTAGGGGTTCTTGTGATTGCACTGTGAAAGCAGCATTTATTGTAATCAAAATGATTTTTATTTATGTTCGATACTGTGCATAGTTGGTTGAGAGAAGCTGGAATGTGAATGTTGCATTCTGGGTATTTCCTGCCTGCAGGACTGCCTGAGGGCGTGTCAGGAACAGATCGAGTCCCTGCTGGAGTCCAGCCTGCGGCAGGCCCAGCAGCAGAGCCACGGCGCCTCCACGGACACTAAGGCCGCCGGAGATGAGGCGGACCTCTCGTGCACACCCACGGACGTGCGGGACGTGAACATCTGAGCAAAAAGCCTGGTTGAGGCCCGGCCATCTCCGGGGGCCTCAGCGAGAGGCTTAACCAGGGAGCTGCGCCCAGCTGCCGGCCCTCGACCGGCGCTCCCTCTCCTCCGCTCTCTCAGCAGCCCAGGGATGTGACGTGCCCACATTTCTCCAGGACGTCTGGGCATCCAAGAAGGGATTAAACGGCCCCCCCACATGCCTATCACCTTTGCTCCCTCTTTGTTTGGCAAAAAAAAACCATCACGAAAAAGAAAAAAAGTTCAAAATAACTAAGAAAAAAAAAGAGAGAAAAAACCCTATACATGCCACTTACAAATATATGCCACAAAAACAGACATTTCAATCCAAGTAAATAATCGAGTAGTGCTTTAAACTACAGACAGTTCGTGCCGAAAAAAAAAAACAAAAACAAAAAAACAAGGAAAAGTGAAATGATGAATCTGGTTTTGTATCCAGACTGTGTATAATATAATTTTTGTTTCAATGGCAGAAAACCATTTATAAAAGAGAAGATGCATTGTTTGTCCTTGATTAGTACAATGTTACAGCTTCAGCTGTTCTACACTCAATGCTAATGTGTCTGCTAGCGTTTGTGTTTAGTCACTTTAATATATTGTCTAGGCTTTTTGAATCTCGAGTCCTAAAGCATTTGCCATCTTCTCTTTTTACAATGGTGGATGTAACCATGTATTGTACTCTTGTTTAGCATACATTACATTATACTATTATTCCTTTAAAGTCTGTGGATTGCAGAAACTTCCAGCTTGTGAGGTATAGCAAGTTATACAGCCAACATAACACCAGTTAACTGCTCATTTTTAAGTATAGCAAGTGCATGTATGAAAGAAGCTAAAGAATAGTTTTGTTGGCATAGACATGATGTCATAAAGACTACTGTAGCTAGCAATCAATAAGCTGATATACACCTTAAATCCGTATAAAGCCCTTGTTTAGTCCACAGTCTTTAAAAATAATTATTTTTTTTCTGTGGATTATTCTGTCTTAGTTTCTAAAACCATTCCATTTAAAAGCACTTTCAGTCAATTGCATATTACTAACTCTTTTGAAAACTATGTGGAAAATTCTCAGACGAATGGAATGGTTTTTTGCGATTGTTTCCACAATATTAAGATCAGGTCCTTATAACTATGGTGTTATTCATTAAGAAAGGACGCGGTGAAGATGCATGCCTTAGCGAATGTGAGCGCCAGGTTTCAGAGCTGGAATTATTTTTTTTGTCATTGTGTCTTTTTGCAAAGATAAGGAAAGGTTTTTTTTTCAGACGGAATGAGCCATCTTCATCAGTAGGGTCTATAACGATGCTTGTTGTTGACGATTCTGGTCAGCATCGCGTTTCCCATTTCTTGAATTGCATCCGAAGCATTACGAAACACTAATAGCATAATTTATAGTTCAGCATTAAGAATTATTTATATTTTCATTTTAGTGGCCAGTATGGAATACGAAAGAACGATTGGTCTTTCTTAGTGATTATTTAAACTTTTCTAAGAGCATGATTGCTAACAGAGCAGGGAGTGAATTCATTAAATCCCAGAATTGCTAATTCCAGATCAGTAGGTCCTACTTACAGTACACTGAAAGTGAACAGGAAGCAAATTTGTGTATATAACTGGTTTTTCTGAGGCAAAACAAAATGTAAACAGCGTCAATAATTGTGATTATACTAATAATGCTCTATCGGTTTCCCATCTTTAAACATGAACTGGTAGTGGCTGTCAGAAGATTTTGCACAAACTCGAAGATGTATTGTTGCATATTTCTAGAGGGACGTGGAGGATAACGCTGCAAGGAGGATTAATTGAAGTAGCTGAGGTGATGGCATAATGTAAGTGAGTAACTGTCGAATCAAAGTGTTGATTGTAGGAAAACAATGAGAATCGGAGTGTACACTCCTTATTGAGCTGCTATGGAGAAATTCCCAGCGACATAAGATGACTTTAACATGAGAAAAAAACAGACAAAAAAGAAACAATGCTTTTTTTTCTTATCTAAATGTTTTGCTGCTATTTTTGTGATCATGTTTTATTACAATGTCAATATACTGCCATGTAATAGGTTTTAATTTTCTCATAGAAAATTATGATATTGACATCGTTGTCATTTTTGTAGTTCGTTTTTATGTGATCAGTTTTTACTTAATGTGATTTCTGCGCTATTCCAAAAAAAAAAGAAAAAAAAAGAGATAGACAGCGGTTCCTGTTTTTTTCACAATACCTCATGCTAAAGACAAGATCTGTTGTTAATTTAGTCCGGGTTTTTTCATTTTTTTGTTTTTAATTCTATTTTATTTTATTTGTCTGTTCAGTGCCTAATAGTTCTGTTTTTAAACTGCAAATCCATATGCATTTATCATTTTCCGAATGGGTCCTGCAGGGAGCGAGTAGAGATCATTGATTAAAACTGGTGCCATAACAAATCTGATAATATAACTCTTTGAGTTTTAAGCTGTTTCATTGAAAGAGACTGTATCACCCCAATTTGGCCATTGGTGGCCACATTTTATATATTTATGAAGCTTTTGTACAAATTTAAAGCCAATATGATAGAATTTTTAAAATGGCATGTTTACTTTAAAAGCCATAGTATATTTACTGATAGTAATTTAACATAGCTCTGATTCAAAGTGTGTCTGGTATCATCTTGTCTTCACTGCAAAATGACCGGAGACCTGCCATTTTTTAATCAAATGTATTTACTGCACAATAAATTTGAAGTAGATATGTTTNTCAGAAAGGGAAGGAGCATTGTTTTTGGCTGGGGGGGGGCTGGGGGGGGGGGGGGGGGGGGGGGGGGTGCATCCCACTTCTAGTATGGTCACCAAGTAGTTAAGTAGTTATTGCCTTCTAGAACGGTGCTTTTTTCTTTCTTTTTCTCCTTTCCACGGCACTTCCGCCACTTGTGTTGTGAGGTTGCGAGGGTGTAGAAATGTGCTGCAGGTGATTCATTAGGGAGGTGCGAATTGGGTGTATGGGTGGCTGAATTGGAGGGGGGGGGACGGGGACGCGGTTCACACCAGGACAAACTGCTTACTCCTCTTGAAATCTGGGCAACCAGCCACAAGTCAGCAGGGCATAATTTTCGAGGATCTCCATGGTTCTCTTTCATGGTCCTCCTCCACGGTATCACTCTCACTTAGCTTTGTTCCAACACATGAGTGACCGGTCCCCAGACTTTACATCCTTACATCCTTCTTCTTGAAAAGTTCAAACCTTGTGAGTAATGATAGGCTGCCGATCTGTTCAACTCTGTTTTTTTTTTTTTTTGGTCTGAATACTGGCTACCATCTAGTCCATAAGGGAATAATGAGAGGACCTACCTACTTGAGGTCCACTCTGACGCAGTGCTCTGTCTCCGTCTTTCAAGATGTGAAATTCATCGCCAGTCCGCCGTCCATGGTGGCTGCGGGAAGCGTGGCGGCGGCGGTCCAGGGGCTGCACCTCAAGAGCACGGACAGCATTCTGTCATCGCAGAACCTCACCGACTTCCTGTCGCAGGTCATCAAGAGCGACCCGGTAGGTCTCACTGTGACGTGCACGCGTGCGACCCGGGTGACAAGAAGCACACCTACATGATTGCTGGCGGCTTGGCAACCCAGCACAGTCAACTGGGCGGTGGAATGGGGGGGGGTGTGTTCAGTGACACCGAGGGCAGGAAAAGGGAAAGATACGAAGCCAAATAAAAAAACAATGCTTATTTTAATGCTTATGTTTTGTGTCTTTTGAACTTAAAACAATAGGCCTTTTTTTTTTTGAAAGATTAGGAAATAGTATTCAATAATAACTTTTTTAGATCTTATTTTCTCACCGCGGAGTCTCTAGTTTCCTGTTGTCTCTTTGATCCCAGGTAATTAGAGCCCAAATGATTAGAATTAGGGCCCTGAGGCTGATCCTCCCCCCCCCACCTGAATGGGTCTGTCCTTCGTATTCTGCACTGAGTGAATTGCTTTACCTCCCATTGTTTTGGAGCCAGGAATTCACCGGACCAGATTATGTTTCGAGCCTTTCATGGTTCATTGTCTTCCTCCTAATCCTCCAGCCCTCCCACTCCGTGGCACAGTAGCTAAATGCACCATCATTGTTCCTAGTGTGGGCTGGTTATAGTCGCTAGAATCAGAATCACTCATCTGAATATCAGCGTACTTGCATATCATAACAGGGGTGTATTGTGGTTGGGTGTCATTACAGGAGTATGTTGTAGATGGAGGGATGGGGCAAATATTTAAAGCACTGGGTGCTACTCGCTATCAAAACATTGAGAAAACGCAGTGAGAAAACGCAGTGTGAATGTGACACATAAACAGACCTGATGTAGATGAGGACTGAACAGTGATTCGGATCAGTTCATTTCAGGAGTTTTTTTGTAATTTTCGCAATAAACAGTCACACTATACAACGAAAATCTTACTCTGCATATCCCTGAACACAAAACACATATACAAATTAAGGTGGTAAAAGCAGTAAAAAAAACAAGACAAATACGTGTTCGATTATGGCAATGAATATGCAAACATATAATGTTATGTAAACATATATCATTAATATAGAGAGTTTTGCAGAGGAGTGGATAAGGCAGATAATTTGAACGTATTACTGTTCTCCTCATTGTTGGCCAGTAATTTCAGTGTATTTCAGCCGTAGGGGGGTCTGCAGGTCGTGTAGACAGACATGGCATGATATTTTGAGTTTCACAGTTTCAGTAGATTTTGCTGCAACTACTGTAGAAGGATCCACAAAAGAGCAGAAGCTGCAACTGCACGTTGGATATTTAATTCTCTGTCACTCGTCTCAGGGATTGTTAGTCCTGTTAGGGGCTCCTTTCTCATGCCAGACCCATTCAGTGCCACTCATGCAAACGCTAACGCCTCAGAGACGTTTCTCATGGGCCGGTGGCTGCTGGGATGGAGGTCAGACAGATGTTGCCAGCAGAAAGGGACACAGCCGTGCCTTGGCGTGGGGCGCCCCGTGACATTAATCCTATGGCTGTGACGGTGTGCGTTCCGCGGCGCGTGTCATGGCCTTCCTGCCAGCGTGCCTGGCCGCACGTGGTGTGGGCCAAGAGGCCACACTTCTAGAATGTTCCCATTGGAAAGATGGAGCAGGAAATCTACACTGCACCAGTGGTTAATTTGCATCTTCAGTATCGATGATACCATAGCCTCACCCAATCTTATGTCTGTGACTCGGGTACGACAGAGTAGCACCTAAAATATATTTTGTTATTGTGTAGTTTCCTTTTGTAGGGAATCATTCGCAGTGAAATATGTTAGGGGTTCTTGTGATTGCACTGTGAAAGCAGCATTTATTGTAATCAAAATGATTTTTATTTATGTTCGATACTGTGCATAGTTGGTTGAGAGAAGCTGGAATGTGAATGTTGCATTCTGGGTATTTCCTGCCTGCAGGACTGCCTGAGGGCGTGTCAGGAACAGATCGAGTCCCTGCTGGAGTCCAGCCTGCGGCAGGCCCAGCAGCAGAGCCACGGCGCCTCCACGGACACTAAGGCCGCCGGAGATGAGGCGGACCTCTCGTGCACACCCACGGACGTGCGGGACGTGAACATCTGAGCAAAAAGCCTGGTTGAGGCCCGGCCATCTCCGGGGGCCTCAGCGAGAGGCTTAACCAGGGAGCTGCGCCCAGCTGCCGGCCCTCGACCGGCGCTCCCTCTCCTCCGCTCTCTCAGCAGCCCAGGGATGTGACGTGCCCACATTTCTCCAGGACGTCTGGGCATCCAAGAAGGGATTAAACGGCCCCCCCACATGCCTATCACCTTTGCTCCCTCTTTGTTTGGCAAAAAAAAACCATCACGAAAAAGAAAAAAAGTTCAAAATAACTAAGAAAAAAAAAGAGAGAAAAAACCCTATACATGCCACTTACAAATATATGCCACAAAAACAGACATTTCAATCCAAGTAAATAATCGAGTAGTGCTTTAAACTACAGACAGTTCGTGCCGAAAAAAAAAAACAAAAACAAAAAAACAAGGAAAAGTGAAATGATGAATCTGGTTTTGTATCCAGACTGTGTATAATATAATTTTTGTTTCAATGGCAGAAAACCATTTATAAAAGAGAAGATGCATTGTTTGTCCTTGATTAGTACAATGTTACAGCTTCAGCTGTTCTACACTCAATGCTAATGTGTCTGCTAGCGTTTGTGTTTAGTCACTTTAATATATTGTCTAGGCTTTTTGAATCTCGAGTCCTAAAGCATTTGCCATCTTCTCTTTTTACAATGGTGGATGTAACCATGTATTGTACTCTTGTTTAGCATACATTACATTATACTATTATTCCTTTAAAGTCTGTGGATTGCAGAAACTTCCAGCTTGTGAGGTATAGCAAGTTATACAGCCAACATAACACCAGTTAACTGCTCATTTTTAAGTATAGCAAGTGCATGTATGAAAGAAGCTAAAGAATAGTTTTGTTGGCATAGACATGATGTCATAAAGACTACTGTAGCTAGCAATCAATAAGCTGATATACACCTTAAATCCGTATAAAGCCCTTGTTTAGTCCACAGTCTTTAAAAATAATTATTTTTTTTCTGTGGATTATTCTGTCTTAGTTTCTAAAACCATTCCATTTAAAAGCACTTTCAGTCAATTGCATATTACTAACTCTTTTGAAAACTATGTGGAAAATTCTCAGACGAATGGAATGGTTTTTTGCGATTGTTTCCACAATATTAAGATCAGGTCCTTATAACTATGGTGTTATTCATTAAGAAAGGACGCGGTGAAGATGCATGCCTTAGCGAATGTGAGCGCCAGGTTTCAGAGCTGGAATTATTTTTTTTGTCATTGTGTCTTTTTGCAAAGATAAGGAAAGGTTTTTTTTTCAGACGGAATGAGCCATCTTCATCAGTAGGGTCTATAACGATGCTTGTTGTTGACGATTCTGGTCAGCATCGCGTTTCCCATTTCTTGAATTGCATCCGAAGCATTACGAAACACTAATAGCATAATTTATAGTTCAGCATTAAGAATTATTTATATTTTCATTTTAGTGGCCAGTATGGAATACGAAAGAACGATTGGTCTTTCTTAGTGATTATTTAAACTTTTCTAAGAGCATGATTGCTAACAGAGCAGGGAGTGAATTCATTAAATCCCAGAATTGCTAATTCCAGATCAGTAGGTCCTACTTACAGTACACTGAAAGTGAACAGGAAGCAAATTTGTGTATATAACTGGTTTTTCTGAGGCAAAACAAAATGTAAACAGCGTCAATAATTGTGATTATACTAATAATGCTCTATCGGTTTCCCATCTTTAAACATGAACTGGTAGTGGCTGTCAGAAGATTTTGCACAAACTCGAAGATGTATTGTTGCATATTTCTAGAGGGACGTGGAGGATAACGCTGCAAGGAGGATTAATTGAAGTAGCTGAGGTGATGGCATAATGTAAGTGAGTAACTGTCGAATCAAAGTGTTGATTGTAGGAAAACAATGAGAATCGGAGTGTACACTCCTTATTGAGCTGCTATGGAGAAATTCCCAGCGACATAAGATGACTTTAACATGAGAAAAAAACAGACAAAAAAGAAACAATGCTTTTTTTTCTTATCTAAATGTTTTGCTGCTATTTTTGTGATCATGTTTTATTACAATGTCAATATACTGCCATGTAATAGGTTTTAATTTTCTCATAGAAAATTATGATATTGACATCGTTGTCATTTTTGTAGTTCGTTTTTATGTGATCAGTTTTTACTTAATGTGATTTCTGCGCTATTCCAAAAAAAAAAGAAAAAAAAAGAGATAGACAGCGGTTCCTGTTTTTTTCACAATACCTCATGCTAAAGACAAGATCTGTTGTTAATTTAGTCCGGGTTTTTTCATTTTTTTGTTTTTAATTCTATTTTATTTTATTTGTCTGTTCAGTGCCTAATAGTTCTGTTTTTAAACTGCAAATCCATATGCATTTATCATTTTCCGAATGGGTCCTGCAGGGAGCGAGTAGAGATCATTGATTAAAACTGGTGCCATAACAAATCTGATAATATAACTCTTTGAGTTTTAAGCTGTTTCATTGAAAGAGACTGTATCACCCCAATTTGGCCATTGGTGGCCACATTTTATATATTTATGAAGCTTTTGTACAAATTTAAAGCCAATATGATAGAATTTTTAAAATGGCATGTTTACTTTAAAAGCCATAGTATATTTACTGATAGTAATTTAACATAGCTCTGATTCAAAGTGTGTCTGGTATCATCTTGTCTTCACTGCAAAATGACCGGAGACCTGCCATTTTTTAATCAAATGTATTTACTGCACAATAAATTTGAAGTAGATATGTTTAAAACACAGACTTTTTTTTCCTCATACCTATACTGGGATTTTAGTTTTGTTCTTTCTCGTAGCTCCTATCTATCAGTTTTCTTGTTTGCCTCAGGCCTTTCTGTGTCAAGAGAGGAATTATCAAAAAAAAAAAAAAAAAAAAAACACCATCTCTCAAAAGCAAATAATCCCTCTCCAATATGAGCTCATTTAGCCATAGACTTGATGCTGCTATACATTCATCTCCAAGAGCATAGAGGGTAGGCGGGTAGAACATTTTTTTTCTGCAGCTATCGGCTGCTAGGTAGGGCTACTAGCAAACCCAGGACCCAGGAGGACAGAATATTTTATTTTATGTCCAGCACAGCAATGTATGTTACCTCAAAAAAGGAAAAAAAACAACTGAAAAAATAACAATCTTTGTTGAAGCCCTTTTGTTCATGAAAAAAAATTGAAAATAATATGGAAAAACAGTATGAAAATATGAAAACATCACCCAGTAATCAGTGGGGCATGCAGATTAGCATAAACGTTACTACCCATTCTTTGTGTGGAAGCTTGTGCCCTTTAAAATGACCTGACTGGTCCGGATGAGAAATCTGTGAGTTGTTGTCTGCATGTCAGATTTTGCTTGTTGCTGACGTGTCGTTCCTCATTAGAGTTCTCCATGTTCTGAAACAATCTTTATTATGGCCAAATGCCGACTGGGGGCCCAAAAAACATTGAGTTGACTTATATATCTGTGATGTCTTGTCCATTCTTTGTTACAGTTGGTCTGAAATGCACAATCTTTACCCACAGACCGTGACATAGTCTTGTTTCAAGCAACACCCTACTCTAGAATTAAAAAAAAATAAAATCCACCATCTCTAATCTTCTGTCTTTTTTGGGGGAATGGGTGGGCGGAGGTGTCATATCAACAGAAGGACATGTGAAATAGAGCCCCCATATATGTTTAAAAAGTGACCATATCCTATTTCTGTATTTAGGGCAGCTGCATAGTTTGTTTGTTTTTTTCTAGTTGTTTTTGTTTTCTAGGAGAATTACCTCAAATGGCTAACTTGTCATGTAGAATTATAAAGTGGATTTGGCTTCAACCCAAAAGGAAAAAAACAGGTGTGACAGAATTGCCCAAATTGTGTCTGTCGAGTGTATGCACTGTGGGCACAGTAGGCAGTAGACAGTATTATTCTAAAAGATCTGACTCAGATTTTTTGCAATAGGGAAAAAAAAACCTTTTTTTTCCTGCTGTGCTGGACGATGACAGAAACTGGCATGAATCCCATTGACCATTCTGTTGTCAGTGACTGGGTCAACATGGGCTTCCTCAGACTGGGATTCCTTATCTATAACTGTACCACACCTCCTATGATGAAACATGCCTATGAATGATTTTTTTGCTTTAATCATATTTGTTTGTTGTATTATGTTGCCAATCATTGTTTTTGTGAGGGCGTATTCAAGAATCAAGATTTTTATTGTCACGAGTTTGTAGGACCAGAGTGAAATTGTTATGCCACAGTTGAACAAACAGCAATGCAATAACAGACAAGACAGCGCAAGACATTAAGTAAGCTACACATCCAAACCATAACAGTAAGCAGCAATCAGGTGATTTAGTAAGTTACTTAGTCAGGATCTACTCAGTTCAGATCTGCAGTTATTTGGGGAAAGAAATAATTAGTATATGTACCTGCTTGTAAGAATCGTCTAGTTAAACGCAAGTGTGTAAACTCCCGATGAAAGGAATTGTTACCCATTGTTGTAAGCTATGTGGTTTTGGGTGTACTGGGCTCAACATAAATCACGGATAAAATTTCTCAGTTTTAATGATGAACTTTTGTTTAGCTGAGGGAGTGGTGACTAGTTTCGCTCACGATGTCAAGCTGGGAAAGTTTTAAAAGGGGGAGTCTGCACTTCATAGCACCTAAGCTAATGTCCCGGAGGCCTGCGCTCCAGCTCTGTTCGTAACACTGAGGCTTCATGTTTATTTAGCGCAGAGGGTGAACAGAAGCATTTGCTTGCAATGCTTTTAATATAGATAGTTCAGTTTAACTGTGCCGTTGAGCAAAATCTAGGCTAAAGGTCTCCGTCCCACATGGGCCAAACACAACAAAGCCTAACTTGGGTTTGTTTCAAATGAAAGAAACGTGCATTATTAAATGAATAATCACATTTGACGGCTTTGTTCTTTAAAACAACCTAAAAATGTAGCTATTGACAGAAGATGGGCCCTCGTGTGAGCGGAAAAGAATCCAACGTCTACGGACAATGGGGACTTTCATATCGTGCTGTTTGGCACTTTAGCGCTCGCGCCTCTGCAGATGTTGTTTCTGAGGGGAAATCTGTGTCGGTCCCCAACCTGCTGAAGGTAGGAGACTGTGAGATGAGCCGTTTGCGGAGTTCACAGGCCCCTCCGCCTTTGCTGAGGGACCCCTGTCCCCTTTGTCATTGAGCGTGTCTTTATTTCAGCGCCGTCTTCTTGCGCGCCATCAGCAAAAGATAAATTGTGGGTCCAGCAGTAGGGCTGGTATTCATCTGTCTTCAATGGCTCTTTCTGGAGGGGTCACTCCTCGCTGCCTGCCTGCCCCCGTGCGTCTGGTTAATCAGGTTGAGTTTTCTGCCATCGGGTATTTTTTTTGTTTGTTTGCACTGAAAAGCAAACTGCACATTTATCATTGCCAGGTGAATGGCTCCAGAGGTGGCGGGGGCAGGAGGGCTGGGGGCGGCAAGACGCTCCCCGTTCAGCGGGGGACTTTCAAGGGCCGCGGTTTGGGATGCGGCGGCGGCATTTGTTGCGTCTCTCTCTCTCTTTTTTTTCACTCCCTTCTTTTTTATGTTACCATTCGCCACCTGCCTCCGAAATTCCTGCATTTACCAACCCCTGACTAGCCGGCTGGAAGGAAACCAAAGAAACGCGGCTGAGTCGCTCCTCTCTCTCTCTCTGTCCTCCCTCTCCTACTGTTCTGACTGAGTTTTGAATTAGTCACAGCGTTTTCTCAGCCATTGGATCATTTTCCCTTTGTTTGGGACCCTTGAGCTCATATAAAAGTAAACCAAGAGGGTGATGACACCCTTGAAATGCCGTTGCTCTCCTTGGTACAGTTTGAGGCTTTAGGAGGGGAAAAGGTATACAGTATGGACAGAGGAGATGAAAGAAGGGAGAGGAAAGACCAAACTCTTGCCATGTATGTGTATCTATATACTGTCAATATGCACGATATTACTGCGTTCTCATATGCAGGAAATGTGCACATGGAGACTGAAAATCCTGCTGTGTTTTAACGTGTGACAGAAAGAAGGAAGCAGATTTTCAGAGGTTTTGAACAGCTCTGCTCATAAATGTTATGATTCTTTGGCAAAATTTCAGAACAGCGGCAACAACGAGCGCAACGGTTCCCTGCCGGGGGGGGGGGGGGCACCTCGCCGCTCGTGTGGCACCCCAAAGCTCTCGTTTGTTAACTTTTCTCGTGCTTGTGTGCTCGGGACCCTGAAGCACTTCTAAGCATGCCACCTTGTCACCCCCCCCGCTATGCCACTCCATAATTCCACACAGTTTAGATCGAGCCCGAGACTCAGGTCTAAAGTTGCGTAGGTGAAAGGCGCATTGACGGCGTTCTGTAGCAGGCTGCCTCGGTGGGCGTCTTCTGGGAACGACGCGGTTTTGTCTGTCTGCTTCAGAGCGTTGCCGCCCGCCGGTGCTCACCTGCCGCAGGGGCGCGTAGGCCAGCTGTCAGCCCCCGGCCCCTCTTTGTGCCGCTGAATTCTGATCTGTCCCGAGCGCTGAAAGGCGGCCATGCGGAGTCCCGCGGCCCTTCCATCCTCCTCGCTCCTCCATTGTCATCCTCCCGGTCCGAGCACCACACTGGGCCCGAAAGCCTGGCTTATTGTCATCTATTGGAAACTCCTTTTGCCAGTCCATGAAAGCTAATGTGCGTTTGTGTGGCCCCTTTGGTTGAACGTTCAGAAATGTGGACGGCAGATTAAATGCTTTTATGGGACTTGTTTCAGGGACAAAGACTTGCATCAGCTGGGATTATTACAGTGGACTGTGGTAAGGCTAAGATAATGCATGAAACAGGAGTTTAGTGTGGGGTGCTTGACTACATTATTACCATATTCATAGGAGTCTTAGCAGATGCTTACATCAAAAGGGATTTGCATAGCATGCAGCTTTAGACGTTTGTACACCTCTATCCATATTAATGACACAATTCAGGTTAAGGTACAAAAGCAGGGCTTCTCCGGGGATTTCTGAGCCAGTAGGTTTGGCCAGAAGATCTGTTTATAATAACCACCATGAGTCCTGCTACACTTCAATGCGATGAGAATCGCTCTGTAGCAATTGGTTTTTGATAGGTAAAAAAAAAAAAACTTTCAGAAGAGTGTAGAGCATGTAGAGTCTGAGATTAAGCGTAAAACCTGTGGCCAAAGTTCACGTGTCCCATGTCAACGAAAACATGAAAAAGAACACATTTTGTATATTTACATCACACATTAAAGAACACATTATATATATATATATATATATATATATATG